AGAGAAAGAGAAACATCGATGTGAGAGAGACACATTGATTGGTTGCCTCCCCCTTGAGCCCCTGACTGGGGCTGGGGATCGAGCCTGCAACCAAGGTATGTGCCCTTGGCTGGAATCAAACCTGGGGGGCCCTTCAGTCCGAAGGCCAGTGCTCTAACCACTAAGCCAAATCAGCTAGGCCCTCAGTTGATTTTTACAGTAAAATAAATATTTTCTACCACGAATCCTCATTCCCTCTGAGTAATTCTTTATGTTGCAATTAATCTTCCACAAATGTACGTATTTGTTGAAAATCCTTTACTAACCTTTATACCAAAACAGAGAGCATAAGGAAAAAGGTCGACATTTATTACATGAAAATGTAGGTCTGTGGAGCCCAAAACAACATTAAGTTGAAAGAAAACAAACTAGGAAGAACATTTACAGCAAATGTAGATAAATATATAAAGAGCATCTTCAAATAAGAAAAAGACAATTCAAGTGAAAAAAAGAGGGGACATTTGAGAGAAAAAGAAACAATACCTGGCTGGTGTTGCTCAGTGTTTGAATGTCGACCCATGAACCAAGAAGTCACCGGTTCGATTCCTGGTTAGGGCACATGCCTGGGATTTGGGCTCGATCACCAGTGGGGGGCATGCAGGAGGCAGCCAATTGATGTGTCTATCTCTCTATCCCTTTCCCTTCTTCTCCCTCTAAAATCAGTAAAAGAAACAGTAAAGATTTTTTAAAAGCTCAACCACAATAATAAAATAGAAATTAAAATGAGGTATCTTTTTGACAGTCAAATGGGCAGATTTAAATGAAATCATACTAAAAATAAATAAATTAAATAAATAAATAAATGAAATCATACTCAGCTTTGGCAAGAACATAGGGAAAGTTTGTTTATATACTTTAATAGTGAAAAAATAAAGATAATCCAACCACCCATTAATGAACTATTGATAATGATACATCCATACAGTGGAATATAAAGGAGCCATTGAAATTAAATGAAGTACATTTACATGTAATGACATGGGGAAATAGTATTTCCATGATATATGAAATAGTATTAAATAAAAAAGCATATTGCCCCACAGAATGTATAGCATGATTCCATTTAAATTTAAATATGTAGGTAATCTACTTATTATATACATAGGGAAATGTCTAGAAGGCTATACACCCAGCAGAGTGAAAGAAAAGGCTTTAGCAGACGTGGTCTTTGAGGGGATGATATTACAAGGGCTTCTTACTTTCTTCATAATATATCTCTGTCTTTGATTTTTCTTGTAATATGTTACATTTACTATTAGAAAAAACACATACGCATTTATGAATTTAATGAAGTAAGCGTTTACTGCATTAAAAAATTATTCAAGGGCTCCTCATCCTAGATGGGACATAATCTATGTGGAAATGATAGTGGTTAGGGCTTTTTTCTGTCTTAATGGAAAACCTCTGATTTCTTTTTTAACGTTACTTATGGAACAAGTATACCATGAGTTATGTTTTACATTTCTGTAGCTAATTTCACACGCTTTTTAACAGCTCTCCTTTTGAATATATTTTTCCCTTTTGATAAAAGATGTTACCCTCAACTATATTTACATTTCCTTTCACTTTCAAAAGTTTTTCAGTGTAGCCTGCTCATGTTGCCCTGTCCCCCTACTTTCGTACTTGTCCAAAGGGAAAAAAATTATCTGGGGCCTTTTTGCCCATGTACTGTTTCCTCTTATTGTAATGCCATCTTTGCCTCCCTTCCTTCATACCTTTTTTTTTTTTTTTTTTTTTTTTTTTTTTGCTTATCCAACTTCTCTTTGTCTCTTAAGAAACATGTGGACACATATGCAGGTCCTTGAGGAAGCCTTCCCTACTTCACCAACTCTCAGTTAGGTACTGCTCCTATAGCACCCTTACATGCCTCTTTCTTCTTACCTACCACTCTGCTGTAATGCTTGCTTGTCTGTCTCCTCCACCAGACTAGAATGCCTTTGGGGAATATCTGTATTTACTGTCTTTATATCTATTACCTAGCAGAGTACCTACATACAGTATAATAAGTGCTGAATAATTGTTGAATGATAAATGACTTTTGCAATCTTGTCTGGCTCTTATATTTGAATAAAGCTGTAACTTGTGCTACCAGTTATCACGTCCCTTCATTAGGTTATTCTAATTTTTATGCACAAAAAAGTCCTGCTTCCTGATTTTGAAGAAAATACATTTTTAGTGGAAATTTAAATTGAATGGCTACACTGTAGTTCTTACTAATAATATTTTAATATTTGAATAGGCTGTTAACAAGTTGGCAGAAATAATGAATCGAAAAGATTTTAAAATTGATAGAAAGAAAGCTAATACACAGGATTTGAGGAAGAAAGAAAAGGAAAATCGAAAGCTACAGCTGGAACTCAACCAAGAAAGAGAGAAATTCAACCAGATGGTAGTGAAACATCAGAAGGAACTGAATGACATGCAAGCGGTAAGGTTTGTGTATGTGTGCACATGTAGGGTTATTTTCTTAAATTGTTATTACTAAATATACCTATTATCTAGTAATCTTATTTAGATTATATTTTTCATATAGAAATTCATATTTTGATTTATACTCTTCACAATTTTATTATTATTCTAATATGAACCATGATCTTGAAAACTAGAAAGATGCCTTGTTGCCTGTTAACCGTTACATTTTGAGTAATTTTTATCCATTAGCATCTGCTCTTTGGTTTTAGACTGAAGTTGAGATATGGCTCGTATTATAGTAACTATAGCTGGGATAGAGGTTTTGGTATATTGGAGCTATATTTTGTGTATTTGGTATATTTATTTTTTCTAATCAGGACTCACTTTTCCTTTTTTGTTTTTAAAAATTTATCTTTATTGTTGAAAGTATTACAGATGTCCCCTTTTCCCCCCATTGATCCCCTCCACCGCGCATCCACCCTACCCTCAGGCCTTCTCCTCATTTTTTTGAAATCAGAATGTCATACTTAATTTTTGGATACTTCCTTGGTTGTTAATAGCACAAAATTGAGAACATGGTCTCTGGTCTTAGACCTAGATCCAAGCATTGACTCTGTCTTTTAGAAATCTTACCATACTGAGAGGCTTTCTGTACCCTTTAAACTATTTTGTTTGGAGCCCCCCAAAAAGCATTTTCTGTTGTCTTAACAAGTATTTACTTTTTTGTTTTTTAATGCCTTGTATTAAAAACAAACGAACAAAAAACATTTAAAGCAAGGAGAAAAGGAGCGTATCCAAGCAATGTATTCCTGAGGAAGAGAACTTGCATTTTTATAGTTATATTAAAATCTGTGGTGGTAAACATTCATGAAGTGTTCAGTAAAGTTTTAGCTTTAGCCACTTTAGATTATATATTTGTATTTCCATTAATTTTTAATTTCTTAATGTTGGAAATTTATTCTTGACTCATTATATTATCTTGGTATTTTTCAAACATAGCAATTGGTAGAAGAATGTACACATAGGAATGAGCTTCAGATGCAGTTGGCTAGCAAAGAGAGTGATATCGAGCAATTGCGTGCTAAACTTTTGGACCTTTCGGATTCTACGAGTGTTGCTAGTTTTCCTAGTGCTGATGAAACTGATGGAAACCTTCCAGGTAAGAATATTTTTATTGCTTCATTCAAGTTTGCTTAAATGTCATGGGAATTAATGTATATTTCTTTCCTTTGGTATCCTACTTCTTGTCATTTTGTCCTTGGATCCTTAAGAAGCAATTTATATTTCTGATCGCCAAAGTCTCTTGATCCTTTTATACTTAGTGTATTTTATGGAATAAAATCAATCATAAGCAATCTTAGGCTATAGATCTGAGAGGCTCTATCTGAATAGAAATCTGAAGAACTTTCTGAACCTATTTTGAGCAGCCTAACTTCATGGTGAAAGTTAAAGATGCCGCAGTACCTCTCACTAGTTAAGAGAAAACTGTATGTTTCATGAGTAGCACATCTTTAATGTTTTATGTATTTTTATGCTAAAACTAAGAACTGTACTTAATCGGAACCACATCAACTCTATATAGAAGCGTACCTAATGTAGTAGTGATAAACTTTAATCAGACTTTAAGTTTCAATTTTAGAGAAGTAGATAAAAAGGGTTAGGAGATGTGGACATGGGGCAGGGAGTCAAGTAAAGGCCGAAGTGCATTGCTGGGATTTCAGACTTTTTTTCTATGTCCTGTTTTCTCCAGTGGAAAATCATTTAAAAAATAAACACAGCTTCTTCTTGGGTTAAATGTAGTACAAGCTGTAGCACATGTATTTTTAAAAGAGATGATCAACACACATAGGTTCAAATTATAAATGAAGTAAATAGGTTATATATGTATTGTGTATATATATGTGTGTATTAAAACATGCATTACAAATTTTAAAGACATACGTATATATACACACACACACACATTTGACATACTGTACATTCTTAGTTCAAGGTTTGGAAGTTTTGTTTACATGGTCATAAACTTGAAAATATATTTTAATTAGTATATTTCCTGAATAATACATGAATACAAAGATATTTATGAAGCAACATGTTTGATATTATAAGGATTTTATTTTAACTGGTACTACTTGATATAAGAAACCTGATAAACTACTTAGAAAATTTTGTGTTATCTTTCTTGGCCAAGAAGTGGGACTCAAAGTGGGAAGCAAATTCAACTCTTATTTGTATACCACCTGCCCTCATTCTTTTGTAGCTTTTGCTAGCTCATAATCAGATATCTGGGAAGGCTAGGGCAGGGAATGAATATTTCTTATTCCAATGGTCAAGGAATTTCTTCTGTTTTCTTGTTTTTGGCTCTCTGAAACCTCCTGGCTATTGAGAAACTTATAGGTGCAGATTCTTATCAGAGAATCACTTTGGATTTAAAAGGAATCTCTTGCTTCAGCTGTTGTTTGAACATCTTTCTAAACTTGGACTTACTCATTAGTAAGAGGTGACTTTTAGAGGTGTTTGGCTACATTCTTTTCATTGTTGCTGACTTTTTTACAAAAATATATTTTTATTGATTTTTTTAGAGAGGAAGGGAGAGGGAGAGAGAGATAGAAACATCGATGAGAAACATCATCGATTAGCTGCCTCCTGCACGCCGCCTACTGGGGATTGAGCCCGCAATCCAGGCATGTGCCCTGACCGGGAATCAAACTGTGACCTCTTTGTTCATGGATCAATACTCAACCACTGAGCCACACCGGTTGGGGCTCTTTTCATTGTTGAATTGAATTTAGTGTAGGTTAAATATCCTGACCAGTTGTTTTTGTTTGTTTGTTTGTTTTTTGTCTTTATTCCACTCATTTCCCTTTAACTTTGTTTATAATGTCTTAGTATGTGTGCCTTGGTTTTCTTTGCATTAGGTTAAACATTTGAGAGACTAATCTATTTAGAAGATTTGAATTGAAAGATGAGTTTGGGGGATTTCTAAAAGGGACAGTGAGCTCTCCTGATGTGGCTCAGTTGGTTGGAGCATCATCCCTTACACCGAAAGGTCAAGGGTTCAATTCCCAGTCAGGGCACATACCCAGGTTGTGGGTTTGATCCCGTCGGGGTGCTTGTGGGATGCAACCAATGGATGTTTCATTCTCACATCGATGTTTCTCTCTCTCTAAAATCAATAAAAAGCATGTCCTTGGGTGTGGTTTCAAAAATAAATAAACAAAAATAAAAAGAGTAAGGTAATGAATTTTATCTTCTATCCTGGCTTATTTAGGAAGGCTAAAATCAAAGGATCATCAGATGGTTTGATTGGCAGGCTTAGGTTAGGAATCCATTTAGATTTCAGAATCCCCATCTAACAAATCCACTTCAGAGTCAGTCAGCAAAGAGATTTTAAAACGTTTCTCCTGGCTTTATGCTGAGTATATCACTTAAAATAGCGGTGATATTCAGAGATTGTGTTTTTAAGGTTTTCAAAGTCCAAACCAAGAGGGAAAAAAATTAAAAGTACTGGTGGCCATTTTCCATTGCTATAAAAGGAAACTAGTTAAGGTACCTCTTTCTCTATTACTGTATTCTTAGTCTTAAAACTTATAAAGATCTCTACAGTGTTGTACCTTTGATTTTCATATTAGAGGTAGAAATTAATGGATAGTCTTTATCAGTGTTATTTTACCTCTCTTTGTCAGATATTTTGCTAGTAAATTGAAAATCTGTATTAAACCTACCATTTACTAGATGCAACTACGGACTAAAAAAAAGAGGACTTTAAATAGAATATGTTTACTCAACAGTTAAAGGCCTTGTGGAATATGGATCACATTTTTAGTTCAATAAAATGGTTTTTTAAGTAGTTGAGTGGATGAACTGATGTATGACTTTCATTATTTCTCTTAGATTTCATCATTTAATATAAAAAGTCTTAATTATCACATATATTAGATCTTCAGCTTCTATAATCTTAGTGGGTATCTTGTCATTAACTAGATTACATTTCTCCTCTTAAATTTCCCAACTCTGAAAAGCTCTCTCTGAAATCAGTAAAGACATATTTAAAAAAAAAAAAATAGTGAGAGGTGCAATTTTTGGCACACTGGAGGGGAATTTTTCTAGCAATAACTTCTTTGCTTTTGTAAGAGAATATTTGTGAATGATCACCGGCCTTCTGTATGTTATTTAATATAAAACTGCACTTTGGTTATTAAATTGTAACCATTATTTACAGAAAATGACTTAATTGGCTAATATTTTAAAAGCAGAATTGCAAAATAATCAGCAAATAGTTACCAAGTGCCCACTCTGTGTATCAGATGCAGTGGGGTATATGAAAAGTGTTAGGATATGGTCCCTGCACTCTCAAAATTTACCAAGAAACTACTTAAGGAGACAAAATAATTATTGATGGACTAAATAACAGCAGCTAAGAGAAAAGCTAGAAGACGGGAATCATTTTGAGCTGAAGTTTCTCATTATTTTCTCTATAACAACAAGTGCAATTTAGGTGAAAGGGAATAACAAAAGCAAAGAATATTAAGTACATGGAAGAAGTTGGAACAAGAAGAACATGACCCCCGATTCAGACCAGTATTGTGCTCTAGGAACACAAATTCAGAAATTAGACTGGCTGGGTGAATCCTAGAGCTTTGACATTTACTGATAGAATACTCTTAGGCAAGTCTGTTCCCCTTGCTAACTCTCAGCCTCTTCATTTGTAAATGGAAGATGATAGTAGAACCTATCCTATTCTGTATTTCTAGGAATATAATATCCTGTATTCATGGGATTATACAAATTTTTTAGATGAGCTATTACTTGTAAAGCACTTGCAAAAATAAATGTTTAGTAAATGTATCTCTTGTTACTTTTACTGTAAGACTGAGCTGTTTTACAGATTTTACATGGAGAGGGCAATATATATATTCTGATTAGATCATGATTTGAGCCATAGTGTAATCTGTCACATTATAGTATTGTATTTTAAATTTGGTTACTTTTCCATTCTTTTATGTTTCAAATATAAAATAGATATAAAAACAATTAACTACTCTTATTTTTAACCTGATATAAAATAACCATTTCTAATGGAATCATCTTTTTCTCCCAAGTATTTCTAATAAACATTAATTATATTTAAACAGTAGTAATAATTACTATAAAATGCCTTGATTAAATTAGTCTAGAATTTCTGATATGTACATACTGGTTAAAATATTAATGGTTGACCAACTGAATTTTGTGTTCTTTTGCTATTTATTACATTCCGGTACCACAAACACCTTTTTAGTTTAATAAGAATTGTAATTGGACTTACCACTAGGATTAAGTCCAACTAAATGTGGAAAGTTTTATTATGGGTGTTTCACCAAAAAGTTTATCAGAATATTGTACTGAGAAAACAAATAAAATGCTTGTCTCTTATTCTTTATATCTAGTTGATTCTGCCTGCATTCCTTATTTATTTATCTTCTATTCTTATCTTCTGTGAGTAATAGGACACTTCTGTACTTTTGCTTGCTCTCTCTTGTGTAAATCATGGCTCTGATTTGTTCCACTTACTGCATAATATTTTTTTTTGCTAAGTATTTTTATATGGATGTTAAATGATATTTAAAGTCTTCTGTATCATATCCCATTTAAGCTGCAGTCCATTCCAGTCTTGCCTGGCTCTTAAGGGTATTGTTGTTACTTCATACTTTTATAATTGAGTACTAAATGTTAATTTTATGGGAAAAGTGGCTTGGAATTTTTTTCTGCAATCTTTGTATGGCTGTTAAAGTTGATTTGTGTGATTGAAGCATGAAAGAGCAAATTATAGCACTTATTCATTTAGCTGTGTTCAAATGCCTGTTACTGCATGCTGTCAGACAACTTGTAATAGCTCTTCCTTTTGTTATGATTTAAGACTGAATACTATATATTCTTTTTCTCCTAGAGTCAAGAATTGAAGGTTGGCTTTCAATACCAAATAGAGGAAATATCAAACGATATGGCTGGAAGAAACAGGTACCATATGCCTCATTGTTTTCTAGTTGATATTTTGTTACATATTTACTTTTAAAGCATATGACTTGTATTAACTGCCCTATTATTAGCATTGATTTTAGATTAATACAATATAATTTAGATATAAATGCCAGATATTATGCCTGTTACTTTAAACCAAGTTAATATTGCTCTTATACCTCTTCCCCCTTTTTTCTCATTTCAGTATGTTGTGGTAAGCAGCAAAAAAATTTTGTTTTATAATGATGAACAAGATAAGGAGCAATCCAATCCATCTATGGTATTGGACATAGAGTAAGTTGCCTTTGATTGAATTTTAAGTCAATTGAGTATTAACATATGATAATCAATTATTTTTAGACTTACAATTTAGTTTATATTTTATTTAAAAATGTTATCTACTTTTCTTTTTTCTTAAATTTAAATAATAACTTTACATTAAATATTATTTTAGCAAAATGTGAGAGGGAAAATTTTGCATTCCTGATTTATGTATTCTAAAGAATATATATATGTGTGTGTGTGTATGTGTTAATTATCACCCTAAGATATGTTTATTGACTTGAGAGAGAGAAAGAAATATCCATGTGAGAAACATCCATGGGTTGCCTCCTGTACACCCTGCCCAGGGATCTAATCTGAAATCTTTTGGTGTACGGAAAGATGCTCCAACCAACTGAGCCTCCCGGCCCGGGCACATTTTGCTTAAGTAAGATTTAATGCAAAGTTATAATTTCAATTTTTACTGCTTTTAAGTTCACAAAGCATCTCAAAATGTATATGATTATGTGGTCTTTTTTTTTTTTTTTTTTTAATATATCTTTATTGATTTCAGAGAGAGGAAGGGAGAGGGAGAGACAGAGATAGAAACATCAATGATGAGAGAACCATTGATCGGCTGCAGCCCACAACCCGGGCATGTGCCCTGACCGAGAATCGAACCCCGATCGCCTGGATCTTAGGTTGACGCTCAACCACTGAGCCACGCCCGGCTGGGCGATTATGTGGTCATTTTTAAAAAGGAAATATAAATGTATCTGTTCTTTTTTAATAGCAGGCCAAAGAGGCTGGTAATAATAAGCTTAGATTATTTTCCTTGTATTCCTTCTAAAGCCATTTCTTAGTACTGCTTCTTTTACTAGAACAGGTGCTGTAGATTGAATAAAGATGATTAAGACAGTTTAATATTTAAGGAGTTTACAGACTAGTAGTAGAAAAGGTAAAACATATGCAACAAAATATAAATTTAAAGTAAAGTGTAGTGGGTGCTATTCACGAGAAATAAAAACTTAAAATGAAGTATTGCCATTGGAATTAAACATTTGTGAAGCCATTTATAGTTACAATATAAAAAGAACTGAGCAAATACCAGAGAGTACTGATATTTTTATTTCTATTTTTTTTTAAAAAAGCATTAGTCATGAAAATTTAAATGATCACTTATATGGATAGTACTTAAACAATAATATAAGTGACATCTTTCAACTAAGTTAAGTACTTTTAGATCAATGAGAGGTCACTTTTATTTTACCTTTTCATGATTTTCATATATTAAAACGTATACCTCTTAAATGTTCTGTTCATTGGCTTTTGTAATTATAAACACCCATGTAGTCACCACCCAAGCAAGACAAGATAAAAAAACATTTCAATCATCCTAGAAAGCTCACCTTTGCCCCTACTCAGAAAAAAAAAAAATCTGGCCGTGGCCGGTGTTGCTCTCAGTTGGTTGAGTGTTTTCCCATGTACCAAAAGGTGTCCAGTTCAGTTCCTGGTCAGGGCACATGCCTGAGTTTTGGGCTGAATCCCCAGTAGGGGGTGTGCAGAAGGCAGTCTATTGATGTTTCTCTCTCTCTCTCCCTTCCTCTCTCTCTAAAGTCAATAAAAACATTAAAAAAAAAATCTGAATTCTGTTCTAGCCAGTTTGGCTCAGTGGTTAGAGTGTCAGCCCGTGGACTGAAGGGTCTCAGGTTCGATTCTGGTCAGGGAGCACGTACCTCATACCCCGGTTGCAGGCTCGATCCTTGACTGGGTCAGTCAGGGTGCATGTGGGAGGGAGCCAATCATTGTGTCTGTCTGTCTGTCTGTCTGTCTCTCGATCTCGCTCTCTTTCTCCCTCCCTCCCTTCCACTCTGTCTGAAAAGCAATGGAAAAAATATCTTCGGATGAAGTTCTGAATTCTATCACTGAGATTAATTTTGCCTATTCTCAGCTTAATATAAATGGAATTATACAGTATACACCCTTTTGTGTCTGGTTTTTTGCACTCAGCATAGGGTTTTGATGTGTGTAGCAGTTGTCTTTTTTGTTGTTATTGCTGAGTAATATTCTATTGAATGAATATATCTCAATTTGTTCATTTATTGTTCTGTTGACATTTAGGTTGCTTCCAACTTGGGACTATTATAAATTAGACTGCTATGAACATTCCTTTTGGGGACTTTAGGAGTGGAATCTTGAGCCATAGAGTAGATCCGTGTTTAATCTTTTTAAAAAATTTACCAAATAGTTTTCAAAAATGGTTATACTATTTTATACTCACCAGTAATTTGAGTTTCAGATGCTCCACATCTTCAGCATTTGGTGTTGCCAGCCTTTGATTTTTTTCTGTTCTAATGGATATGAAATGCTATCTCATTGTTTTAATTTGTATTTTTTTCATGACTTATTATGCCAAGAATCTTTTCATGTGATTATTGGCCATTTGTATATTTTTTCTTAAGTGTCTCCAAGTCTTTTGCCCATTTTTTAATTGGGTTGCTTATCTTTTTAAGATTGATTTGTAGAAGTTCTGTATATATTCTGGATACAAATTCTGTGGCAGAAATATGTAGTGAAAATATTTTCCGTTCCTTGGCTTGCCTGTTTATTTTCTTTATGATACCTTTTAACAGAGACCGTATATTAAGTTTTTAAAAATAATTACTATCTTTTGTAGTCTGTCCAAGAAATTTTTGCCTGCCCACAGGTTGTTGAAGGTGTTCTTTCCTTTTAGGAACTTTATTGTTCTAGGTTTTACAATTAAGTTATGATTGATCTCAAATTTATTTTTGTATTTGGTAAGAGGTAGTGGTTGAAGTTAGGGTTTTTTTCATGTGAATATCTGGTTGTTCCAACACGATTTTTATATATAGGTCTTGAATCCTCTAATCTTGCTGTTCACTTATTTTCATAGGTCTTTTTGATTCTGCAGGAATTTTCTATAAATACAATCATGTCATCTCCAAATAATAGCTTTACTTCTTTCTTTTCAATCTGTATGCCCTTATCACATGTATAGATTATTATGACCACCACCACAGTCAATATACAGAACAGTTCCATTACAGGGATCCCTCATGTTACCCTTTCATAGCCATAGGAAGTGCCTTTTCTCCACCCTTCCATAATTCCTGACAATCACTGATATGTTCTGCGTCTCTATAATTTTATCATTGGAAGGATGTTATACAAATGGAATCAAATACTATGTAAACTTTGGGATTGTTTTTTTCACTCAGTGTAATTCCTCTGAGATCCATCCAAGTCGTAGTTTGTTTCTTTCAATTACTGAGTAGTATTCCATGGTATGGATGTACCACAGTTTGTTTAACCATTCATTTGGGTTGTTTCCAGTTTTTGGCTATTGTACATAAGTTCCTGTGAACATTCCTCTACAGATTTTCACATAGAGATAAATTTTTATTCTCTGTAGTAAAGACCCAGGAGTGCCATTGCCGGTTCACATGGTTAGCATATGTTTAGTTTTGTAAAAAGTTGCCACACTGTTTTCCAGAGTAGTTCTGCAAATTTTACATTTCTACCACAATTGTATGAGCGATATAGTTTCTCTGCATCCTAATTAGCATTTAATTTATTAGTATTTCTATTTTTAAAATTCTGATAGATGTATAATGATACTGTGATTTTAAGTTGTATGTTTCTAATGACTAATTTCTCTCCAAGAAATGTTTGTTTATATCTTTTACTGTAAATGAATTTTTATGATGGCCTATATCATATTTATTTCCATTTTAGTAAATTGTTTCATGTTCGACCTGTAACCCAAGGAGATGTGTACAGGGCCGAAACTGAAGAAATTCCTAAAATATTCCAGGTAAAAATCTGAAATTGTAATTTCAAAAGATGTTTTACCTAAGTACTAAATATATATTTTTAAATAAATATACACCAGTGTGTTTATACATTTGAAATTTGTATGTACAGATACAAGTCTTTTTTATCTTCTTTCTTTTACCATTCCTGAATAGATACTATATGCAAATGAAGGTGAATGTAGAAAAGATGTAGAGATGGAACCAGTACAACAAGCTGAAAAAACTAATTTTCAAAATCACAAAGGCCATGAGTTCATTCCTACGCTCTACCACTTTCCCGCCAACTGTGAGGCCTGTGCCAAACCTCTATGGCATGTTTTTAAGCCACCCCCTGCCCTAGAATGTCGAAGATGCCATGTTAAGTGCCACAGAGATCACTTAGATAAGAAAGAGGACTTAATTTCTCCATGTAAAGGTAAGGCATGAAACATTGTACCACTTAAAACAAATTAGAGAATTACATCCCAATAACTTTTTCAAGTGTAGCATTTCCTATACCAAATTGAAAAGAGTGTAAGCTGTGAAATGTATGGCTAAAGAACCTTTGTTGCAAGGTAGTATCTACCTCCCTTGGTCTGGATCCTTCTAATAAATACACAATATGCTCAAATTAAAAAAAAAAAAGGGGGCAATAAGAAGTAACATTTTGACACTGGTGGAGAACATACAGCTATCATTTTACAGTTATAATGTCTTTAAAGAGAATCACCCATTTGTAAAAACAATAAGGTATCGCTGAGAAAGTATTCTAAATTGGAGAGAGGAGCTACAGCTGAGTTCCACTATATTCCCCCCTTGAGTTTTTAACCTCTGGCTTATTTTCTTTTTATCTGGTTTTCACTGCCTGGACCAGCATGCTGTATCATAGACAGAATGTCTAGTTTACCAGAGGTAGCTAGAGGGAGAGAATACAGGCTATAGCTATTTTAAGAAAAGACACTTGTGTTCTAAATATGCATTTATTCATCTCAGCGCATTTATTGTATTTCTGATTTGACTTTATTTTTCTTACTAGTTTATAACTAGTGTTTTCTTTTTAAATTTTCAGCCTTAATTAAATTAAGGAAAAAGGGATATTGTCCAAGCTTAATTAAGCGTAGTAAATCTCTTTAAATTTTAAGAACTTATAAAATTATGCATTTAATAGGGCTTTTTTAGATTTTATATGACTTTAATTGTACTCTTTTTTTCTTAACATAGTAAGTTATGATGTAACATCAGCAAGAGATATGCTGTTGTTAGCATGTTCTCAGGATGAACAAAAAAAATGGGTAACTCATTTAGTAAAGAAGATACCTAAGAATCCGCCATCTGGTTTTGTTCGTGCATCCCCTCGAACACTTTCTACAAGATCCACTGCAAATCAGTCTTTCCGGAAAGTGGTCAAAAATACATCTGGAAAAACTAGGTAAGGATTGAAATGTTTACCTTTTTAACAATGCGAAGTGATTGAATAACACCTAAAAAATTGGAATCAAATTGTTCTTTTCCCCATAGAGAGCATTATTTGTATCTAGTTATTTATATATTACTAGAAATGACTTTACAAGTTAGTTTAACTGATTCCTGTTAGAAGTTAATAATATTTCTATATATCATATTTATTTAGTTCCATGTCAGATTTTGTCATTGGTTGTTATACATGGCAATATTTAGCCCTTAACATTTTAAAAACCTTGTGGTTTGTCCCCCTTTTAAGATAAATAGATTTATATAAAACTGTGCGCATCTTTTGTTTTTAACTATGTTGGTGTAGTTTTGTTTTTAATCAGAATTATTCGGTATTATCAGTGAATATGGTGTTACACATAAACTTCCCAATTAAGTACCTTTTTTGGGGAGGGGTTAACTAGCTTTGGAATTTTTTCAAAAATATTTATATGCTATAAATAACAATGATAGGACATAATTAGACCCTTTCTTGAAGAGATGTTATGATACCTCATTAAGTTCTCATTTTCACATGTCTAAATGAGGCTCAGCGGAATTAGACAACTTGCACAAGATCACACAGCTAACTAGTGGCATAGTCAGGATTAGAACCCATTTTCATCTCATTCTAAAGCCTATGCTTTTTCTCCTGTACTAAATACCAACTTTCACTGGAGTGTAATCCTGTGTTAAGAGGGGCATTTGACTCTAGAAGCTGAGACCTATCATAGATTTGTCTGTCTGCTACCATCACAAGTCTTCCAATCAGTCTTAGGACCACTTTTAATTCATCCCATTTCTTCACTATTGTCAGTAACCAAGTGTAATTCTTTGAAGAGTCATACCCATTTTTCCTTCTGTATTCTTCAGTTGCCATACTACTCCAGTATATTATTGCTTCACTCATGATTTATCTCTGTAGACTCCTATATCCCCCCCTGTATAGGATCTAAAATTATTTAAAATCGATTATCATAGCTTTGAAAGTATATATATGTTTGAAATAGAGTAGAGGGAAAAAGGAGATAATACTAAGTATTTGTCCATTTTCTTGTTTTTCAAATTCTGTTTGTTAGTTTTTAGATATAAAAATAATGTAGTTTACCTTTCCCTCCGAGTACATTTTTTAAATTATAGTTTTTGTGTTTTTTTTCCCCACCAACAGTTAACCGTGTGACCTAGCACCTTGTGGAATCGTGTGGGATGCTACCTGATAAACCAGGCTTCTTTAACCATGCAAAGCAGACAGGCTGTTCCTTTGACACAATATCACAGGCTTCAGGGTTAAGATTGCTGTTATTCTGTCCATGCTTTGGCACAAAAGCACACTGAGGGGTTTTTTTTATTGCGGGTTTGCCTACAGGTAGATTAGATTAATTATTACTATGTAATGCAAGTACAATTGGGGAAAAGCTTAGCTAGATATATATTTTTTAAAAAGGTGCTGCCTTTTTGAATTTCTAAGAAACGCCTGTCAATCATGATAGAACAGTTTCCTCATATGAGTGAGAGGAAGGGACTTTCACTTTTAAGTGGAATGGCATCACTATCAAGACCAGCTCATGGAAGGAGTAAAGAAAATATCTCAAAATGAGACAACTGCAATTTTTTTTTAATGACTTCAGTTTTTGTGCTCTTGCAAGACTATACAAAACTATTTTAAGAAAGCAGTGACTTCACTTGACTTCAGTGCCCTCACTGTAGAATTTAAAAGCCTTACTGTTGATTGCCCATTGGTGGACTTGACAGAGAATAAATATCTTACATTATGCTTTATAAAATACTGTATGTGTTTCAGCAAGTTTGTAGATTGGGGAATGGGAGAAGGCAAAAAAATTACGTTTAATCTATGCATTTTTGCCAAGCCATATTGAGTTATTTTACTACTAGAGACTTTAGGAACTAACTGTACAAAAAAAACAAGTTTAAAAACATGTTTTGGGGTACATCATTTCTGTAATTGTATAATGTATTTCTTTGTGGTTTTAAGTGATAAAGACATTAAGTTAACAAACATATAAGAAATGTATGCACTGTTTGAAATGTAAATTATTCTTAGAACACTTCAGTGGGCGTTGCATTGAGCTTTTAGTGCCTTAATTTGAGAGAATTATTTTACTGCCATAACTAGAGTTCCAAAAACATATTTTCAAAAAATTACGTGTCAGTGGGTTTTTCATTAATAATTGGTTTAATTTTAAATATTTAGAGGTTTGTTGGACTTTCATAAATTAAGTACAATCTTTGCTTCAGACTACCTGCTAAAATAATGAATGACTTTATAAAACTGCAAAACATGTAGAAGTTTGCACCAGTATAAAAGAAAATTATGGCAACACATCTCTGATGTTTTCCAGTTAACATAGGAATTACCAGATAAATACTGTTAAACTCTTGTGCAATAACAAGAGTAGATTTGTATGGGCAGTATGATTTATTGTTTATTTTTTTAACCAAATACCTCCTCAGTAATTTATAATGGCTTTGCAGTAATGTGTATCAAATAAGAAGCACTGGAAAACTGATTCGTCTCTAGGATGATATGCATGTTTCAAGTGGTATTGAAAGCCGCACTGATGGATATGTAATAATAAACATATCTGTTATTAATATGCTAATGACTCTGTGCTCATTTAATGAGAAATAAAAGTAATTTATGGATGGATACCTTTAAAAATGACTATGGTATTTTCTCATGGCTGAAATGAATACAAACCATGCTATAAATTAGTTTCTGACTGTGTACAAATGTTTGTTTAATTTCATGATTAGATTAAAGTGAATTTTTAAAAGATAAAACCTGGTTTGGGCTCTAAAAGAAGAACGGCTAGAGTTGAAATGAAAAGTTGACTACTGTCTGTTGGGAAACAATTTTACATTGATCTTTTACATTTCTTACATCTTATGAGCAGAGAGAGGCTCTGACAACCTTTCTTCCAGACTCTTTTCCAAGGAGATTTGATTAGTAAACAGCCTTGGAAGATACTGTGTCTCCTCGAGAGGAAGGCAGGTATGTCTGTTGTCCAATATAATAAAGATAATGCTTCCTCCTGATCTGCAAAAGTTGGGCAGATTTGCTTGAACTCATTATAAAAGATTCAGATACCCTAAACTTGGGGTTCCTTAGCTGTAATACAAACCCACTGTATGCTCAAGCACCCACCTGAGCCACTTTACATTGCTCCCATGGAACTTGTGGGAGCAAGGGGAACTGACAAGAACATGAAGCTCATGCTGCTTGTACTGTTAGTGTAAAGTTGTTTGGCTGTGATCCAGGAGTCACATGTCTTTTGCCAGGATCCATGAAATGTTGGCAGACTAACTTGTTTGCAAGAAGAGTCAAATTTCAAACTCTTCACTGTTTTTGACAATGTGCTTACCATCTTCTTAGAGAACTATCACCATTACTTAATGTATTAATGTCTAATGTATTTTTTTTTTTATTGATTGGTTTTTAGAGAGAGAAAAAAACATAGATTTGTTGCTCCACTTATTTATGCATTCATTGGTTGCTTCTTGTAAGTGCCCTGACTGGAGATTGAACCAGCACCCTCTGTGTATTGGGATGACATTCTAACCAACTGAACTACCCAGCTAGAGCCAAGCTATATTTCTTAGTCACAGAATTTTAATGTTGGAAGTGACCTTAGAGATAATCCAACTCAAGCTACTTACTGTATCAGTAGTCAGGAAGAAAACGGTAACATGTCCATGTTCTAAATTGCAATTAGACACAAAACAGGACAGAGCCCAGGTCTCCCAACTCATAAGTGAATGCTGCTTCTACCACATAAAGCTTTGTTTCCAAAACTGTGATTAAAATTATGTGCTTTTTAATAAATTCGAGTCTATGTTATCATTCACTACATGAAATGTGATTTCAGAAAGCATTTATACATGTGGGAAAAAAGTAAAGCTGAAACTCAGCTTAGGATATCATTTTTACAACCTATGCTTTTGTTATAGTTTAATCCTCACCCGAGGACATGCTTAGAGAGGAAGGGGGAGAGAGAGAAAGAAGGAAGGAGAGAGAAACATTGATCACATTGATCAGTCGCCTTCTGTGCACGCCCCAACGGGATCAAATCCACAACCCAGGTATGTGTCCTGACTGGGAATCTAACCAGCAACATTTCAGTGTACCAGACAACGCTCAACCAACTGAGCCACTCCAGCCAGGCACAACCTATGCTTTTATATAATGAATCCTGTCGTTGAAAATAGAAAACCCACCCAAACTGGCTTAAAAAGAGGAAATGTATTGACTTATGTAATTAAAACATTTAGGGGGAAAGTTGGCTCATGATGTTGTCAGGGGCTCAAATGATGTCAGTGATTCTTGTTTTCTCCAGCTGTTTTCTCCTCTGGATTGGCCTCCTCCTCACACAGTATTCTCATGTCACTGAAGCACCGGGGTTACATTCTTGAAGTGTAGCCATCTCAGCCAAAAGTGTAATCATTCCAGGGATCTGGGGAAATCCCCTCATTGCTTGAGTCACATGTCTGACCTTGAAAGCATCATCGCTATGGGCAGAGAGAAGCAGTGTTCTGATTGGTTACACCAGGGTCATATGAGGTCTGAGCCACACAAGCCACCTGCATTGAGAGAGGAAGAAGGGTTGGTTTGCAAAGGAAAAATCAGGCTGCTTTTTCCAAAAAAGACAAGAGGCAAAAGCAACAAATGTTCCTCATAGCTGCTTGTTGCTCTGGTTCTCTATGGGGAAAACTAGGAAATTTTGGCAAATTTTATATTTAAAAAAACTGAGTGAAAAACATAAAATGGATTGATAAATTGGTGTACAGTGGGAAAGAACATATGGGAATAATTATTATAAGACATTCTAGCACAAACATGATGAAATTTTCTGTGGACTCCCAAGAAATCTGAATGTGAAGATCAGAAGTAAACTGGGAACGAAAATATATGTGATTAAAAGAGTCTGATTTTGTTTGGGAAGTGTCTACATATTTTCCTACTGTTTTTCTCCCAAAGACACTGCCCACCACCAATCTTTGTTAAAATGTGTGTAGTTTTCTAGGAGGAGAGAAATTTCTAGTTTTGTTGCTATGGTTCCCAGGTGAGTTGCTAGTAAGAAAACAAGAACACCGCTGTTATTTTTAGAGCATCCTGTCATAAGAATAAATCACTTGAGAACAGATTTTAAACCAACATTTCCATTACTGCCACTCAGTTTTCCATTTTAATTTTCTGCTTCAGTGTTCCAAAATCTTGCTCCAAATTACATGATATGCAAATTATTTCATTGTAGATTTTTTAAAAGAATAAAGTAAAAATTTAGACTTTTGAGGTGCACTACTCAGTCAATAAAATGAACTTCAGGATGTGTGTGATATTTAAAACAGAAAAAAAGTGAATGAAATAAAAGTACTTTACATGTTGTTTCTTAAGGATGCTAGCATCTTGGAAGTTTACATGAATCTCAGTCTTTAATTTCAGACTAGTCTAGAGAAGCATAGACCTTTTTGTAATAGGATAATGAAATATTTATTCTATTTTCACCTGAATTATTTTCCAGAACCAAGTAAATGGCCCCCCACCTCAACATAAGAGCTGTGAAAGCAAGTGTCAATTTCAGAAATTTAGTAGATAGCTTTTCACATTTAAAAATCAGGTTGATCTATATAACCTAAAATGTAAAGATGTTAACATAAGTAAATATGCATGGGCACCAGTTTTGAGAAACTTAAAGGGATACCTGAACAATTATTCTTGAGTTAAACCTTATCAAAATAGTTCGCTTATTACTGTAGTACCAGGAATATCATAGTTAAAATTGTTTACATAATTAAAGGTGAGTAATAAAGGAGCAGGAGCTGGGGTTGAAGCGGGAAAGTGACTGAAGAATGTCTTGCTCATTCCATAGTAAAGGTACTGTTAGACTTGCCTAATAGCAGTATCTTTGAATGCAACATGTTTCTAACCAGTTTTATATATAGTGTTATATATAAAACTGTATATAGTGTTAGTGAAGTTTTGGAGTCATTTTAGTCTCTTGATGGCAAGGCCAAAGGCATGGTTTTGTTATAGCTGCTAGTCATTTATGGTTTTGTCACCCAACATCTATTTTCCTTTCTTCTTGTTTCAGCGTCCTAATTTTTGGGGCTAGGGGTGGGAGGAACTTCCCTTCTGCTACTGTGTTCTTTTTTGACTGTCAATCAAGGTGACTCCTCTAAGTGGTGTGATTTTTGTTATACCAGTAGTAATGATTAGTTTTTTGTGTCAGCTTAACTGGGCCACAGGATGCCTAGACATTTGGCCAAACTATTCTGTGAGGATGTTTCTGCCTGAGATCAACATTGAATCGGTAGACTGAGCAGAGCGTGTTGCCCTCTCTAATGTGTGGGCCTCCTGCAATCAGTTGAAGACCTGAATAGAAAAGGGTGAGTAAGAGGGAATTCCTGCCTGTCTGCATGAGCTGGGACATTGGTCTTTCCTGGCTTTCAGACTCAGACTGAAATATCAGCCCTTCTTAGGTCACAAGCCTGCTAACTTGCGAACTGAAAACTGTACCATCAGCTCTCCTGAGTCTCCAACTTGCTGGCTCTGGATCTTGGGAATTCTCAGCCTCCATAACTGCATGAGCTAGTTTATAAGAACTATGGGGGATAGAGATGCCATAAAGCAAACCAACAACTCCAAAATACAGGGCATTTTATAGTATGGAACAAGTTACCTGGCTTTTCTAAAAGTCAATGGCGTGAAAATAAAGGAGGGGAAGGGGAAGGGGAAGGGGAAGCTGCTTTATTTTAAAAGACTTAGGAGTCATAAATCCAGTGTAATATATGGATCTCATCTGTATCCCGATTCTAGAAAAAAAACAAAGCACCAAAAAAAAAAAAAAGCCAACTTATAATTGTGAAAGTTTGATTATGGTTTCCATATTGATTCCAAGAAATTATTGTTATTTTGTTAGGTGTGATAATGACATTGTGTTTATATCAGAAAATAATCTATATGTTTTTGGAGATACTTAACTG